TACTGCACATTGCTGTCTTTGATGTAGTTGCTTAGATTACAGATACTAGCATATGGAGCTAGGCAAAGTAAAAAATTTAAACATTAACTGCTACTTTCAAAAAACTGATGGAAATTAGTATTACGCTCCTCTCAGCTAATCTTGTATATATACTTACATGATTTTTCCCCTCCCTTTTTTTCCCATGAAAATACAAATTTAGACACTCTGAATTATGGACTATCTTTTCATGTACAAGGAATGTTTGAGGTCTCTAATCCTGTTGTTCTTATTTGCACATCAGGAAAATACATTTTAGAATTAAAATATAATTTAGTGTTTGTGTCTGCTTTTGATGTGGTGCCTCTCTCTCTCTCCTGCCTGGTTTGCTTCAGGTTCTAACATGATTCCACACTAACTTGCTGCTCTTTGTCTGCATGTGTATTACCCATGTGAACTTAATAATCTTTTGTTGCTTTTAACTATTTGCACAATGTAGGCTAACTGTGTAGATATTTCAAAGAAAGACAAGCGGGTCACAAGACGCTGGAGAACAAAAAGTGTCAGCAAAGATACAAAAATACAGCTGCAGGTACAGATTTTACTTTTCCTTCCTTTGTCTTTTCATGTACTTTTAAAGTATTAATCTTTATATATCAGTACATGGGCATTAGACTGAGAGAGAAGCTTAACTACTTTAAAGCCAGAGCTTTTCAAACAGAATTATATTGTCTAAAATAGTGGGAAGTCTATTTAATTTACCTACTTGAACCTAAGTGAAAAGAATTTGAAAGAATGGTAAAAGTATACACTATTGCTGCAAAGTAGCAATTTCATTCTCAGTTATAGCCTTTGAACCATTAAAACTTATTTTAACAAAAAGTCCTCTTTAGAATCTAGACTACAAATCTAGTGGGTTGTAATGAATGTTCACTTACGTGCACTCTACTAGATTTTCAAAGGGCCTTTGATGTGCCAACTGCATCCAAGTCTTTTTTGTTTTGTTTTGGGTTGTTTTTTTTTTTTTGTTTGTTTGTTTGGTTTTTTTTGGCAGTACCAGGGATCAAACTCAGGACCCTGTACACGCCAGGCAGGTGCTTATGCCGCTGAGCTGTCTCCCTGGCCCCACTCCATCCAAGTTTTTATCTATCAAGAAAAACAATAGAGGCATGCAATCAGCAGGCTTGGGTTATACTCTGTGTATTGGCTATGATGTTGTGTACCTCTGTGGAATTTTCTGGGCCTCCATTTGCTCTTGTAAAATGATGGAGTAAATTTAATGATCTCTAAATTCCCTTTTAATTTTACAATTAGGTGATTCTGCAAAAATTGATATTATTTGGCCTGTGAAATCCATTGAAAAATCTGAACTAAAGTTTTAATGGCTAGTGATAAATTCCCTTGAAATTTATTTGAAATAAATACTTTAATTTTTTTAAAGTAAAGTGTTTTTTATGTTATTGCATTGAAATGCAACAAAATATGCCTAAAACTTAAGCCATAAATCATCTTTCAGATCTTTAAACAAGACACATTATTCTTATCTTAGTTGTATATTATTAATGATTCTTGCCTTGTGCAGTCAAAATTAGACATGGTTTGGCTTTTTCACTATAAATCAATTTATATTCTAATACAAAGATTAAGAGGAGCTGCTTTTCAGATATCTTCTATTTCTTCCGGATAATTAACAAAATAATTCTTTAATTCTGACTTCTTTAATAACATTGTATGCAATGTAATTCTGAAGGTGTAAATAACAAACTTACTAATATGATGTTTTTAAAAATAAATTTTCAGTCACTGAAAGATCCATTTTTTATTTGAGAATGTCTACATTCTATGAATAGAATTCTTTGTGTTCCTTTGTTCAGTGTGTTTTTGTGTGTTTTCCTTCCTGTTCATAAAATTAATACTGTAGGGACACATTTGCCAAGTAATTTAACAAGAAAATCACCTAAAATTGCCTTTGGCAGTTTCATTTGTTTTGAGCTTGTGATTGTCGTGTGTGTGTGTGTGTGTGTGTGTGTGTGTGTGTGTGTGTTTAAGCTTGTTATCTATGAGCCTCATGGCCAGAAAAAAGGATCATTTTGTGAACAAAAAACCATTCTTTTAAATAAAGTAATATAGAA